TGATGGCAGCTGTGGAACAGCCAACCTATCTTTACATGATGGCAGCTGTGGAACAGCCAACCTATCTTTACATGATGGCAGCTGTGGAACAGCCAACCTATCATTACATTATGGCAGCTGTGGAACAGCCAACCTATCTTTACATGATGGCAGCTGTGGAACAGCCAACCTATCTTTACATGATGGCAGCTGTGGAGCAGCCAACCTATCTTTACATGATGGCAGCTGTGGAACAGCCAACCTATCTTTACATGATGGCAGCTGTGGAACAGCCAACCTATCTTTACATGATGGCAGCTGTGGAACAGCCAACCTATCATTACATGATGGCAGCTGTGGAACAGCCAACCTATCTTTACATGATGGCAGCTGTGGAACAGCCAACCTATCTTTACATGATGGCAGCTGTGGAACAGCCAACCTATCTTTACATGATGGCAGCTGTGGAACAGCCAACCTATTTTTACATGATGGCAGCTGTGGAACAGCCAACCTATCTTTACATGATGGCAGCTGTGGAACAGCCAACCTATCTTTACACTGCTGTTTTGGTTATAATCATTGAAATAAACACCATCAATAAAATCTACCTTTTCATCCATGAGTACAGGATCAATACCAAAGAATGGTCGCATGGGTCCGGTATAAATTTCAGCCCCAGGGTCAGATGGCCTTGGTGTGATGCAAATACCTCCGGTCTCTGGTAAAGATAATATATTCATAATAAATGTGATTGACCATTAACAATTGCCTCTTCTTGCATTAGCTTAATGATTTTTTTTTCCATAATTCAAGGACATTGTTGATTAATGGCATTCACAGCAACAACAATTTTGAATGGGATATAATTAATACAAATAATATAACAAACTGATATTGAAAATGGGCATGACAAATAACATGGTATCCTCATTATCATCAATGATGATGCTAATGATGACGATGAGGAAGTTAATGTTGATGATAATGATGATAGTGATGGTGATGATAAGGATAATAATGATGATAATAATGATGACAATGATGAAGGATGACAGAGATGGCGATGAAGATTTAATTTCATACAATAATACCATTACAGACAGAAAAAAAGAATATTGAGGAAGAAAATAATGCACATAATAAAATGTTTACTGGGAGGGTGACTGGATTGATAAAAGCAAAACTTAATATCTATTTTTTTTCAAATAGTGATTAAAGTGTTTGTCTTTTGTGGTAATGAAGATCCTGTCATAATATGACAGAATGTATATGAGCACATTGTGTCAATCTACAAAAGCTATTGTTTATATAGGTAATATGGCATGACTGTAAGAGAAAATAAACTATGATTTTAGGAGAAAGGAAGAATGAGTTACTTAATTATCTCACCTGTCTGCCACCATGTATCCACCAGTGAACACCTGCCGTCACCAACAACATCATTGTACCATTCCCACGCTTCACGGTTCAATGGTTCTCCAACTGGGAAAATACACATTAATATATAAATAGTATATTTACCTGAATGTAAAGATTTTGTAAAGGTTGGTATGCTAATAATAAAAATTGGTCATAAATTCACAGATTCAAAGGTAGAACATATTTATTTTACAACAAAGGAAATTCTAAGTACATAGAATATATTGCCATAACAACATAAAAATATATGTACATTTTGAAAACATCATAGGTAATAGAATAAAAATTGGGTTGCTACAGTATGAAGTGTTTTGTATTGCTGAGAAAAGTAGTGAAATTGCATGAATTGTTGTTAGCAAAAAAAAAAACCCACATGTACTACCATTAATTTCCAAAATTATTTGGCATAAAAAGAGTGGAAATAAGGAACACTTAAAACCAGAACACAATAAAAAAAAAATGAAAATGGTACAATTAGGTTATTGCAAAAACATAAAAAAAAAAACACATTAACTGTTGTAATTTCAAATTGATTTTGTTGCTTTTTGTGTGAGGGCCCCTTTAATTAAGTCAGCATTGCTGTTATGGTCACCCTAGTTGAATAATGTTGAATAAATAAATTAAATTTGAGCTATATAAAATAATGAACTACTGTATATATATTCTTACCACATCCTAAAGTCCTTAAAGAAGAGCGGTCATATTTAGTGACATAGTCGTTGCCAGATTTGATTAAAAGTCTTAACGCAGTTGGTGCAACATATATCTGATTTAGCTTCAAGCGCTCAACCATCTCCCAATAACGTCCTAGTAAGAACACACAAAATTATTTAAATGGAGACTAATATTAGTTATGTTAAATCCTCATATCTTTTGCATTACGCCACTATTACTATTATACAATTGGACAGTACCTGGGTCAGGATAGGTTGGTACACTCTCAAATAGAAGTGTCGTAGCACCATTGGCTAGAGGCCCATATACTACATAGCTATGCCCTGTGATCCATCCAATGTCAGCAACGCAGGCGTAAACATCTCCAGGCTGGTAATCAAAGATAGTCTATGAAAATACAATACAATAGATCAGGTTTGTAGGTATTAAATACAAACAGATATGTATTTTATACATACACATGAAAACATGTTATGTACTGTTATGTTTGTCTTGTGAAAGAGATTATCACATGTGAGTAGAACAGTAATATTCTTGGCCCATGATCTTAAATAAATAATATAATAAAAATAAAATACACTACAGTACTATAATTTTATAAAATCCACTTAAATTTGAAGTGATAGTATACATGCCACCACAAAAAAAAAATCACAGTTTACCTGATGTGTTAAAGATGTGTAAAGTAGATATCCAGCCTGTGTGTGTGCTAAACCCTTGGGGGCGCCTGTTGAGCCAGATGTATATAACATAAACAAAAGATCTTCACTGGACATCACCTTAGGAGTACATTCTGTTGACTCAGATGCCATTGCCTGATATAAAATTTTTTCCAAATATAAATATTTTTTTTTCATTTTTAAATATAAAAAAAAAAATAGGAGAAAGAAATTGTCTTCATTTTTACTGTTTAAAATAAAAATCTGGATCTGTAAGTGCTTACCTCTTCTAGGGGGATATCATGCTTATTCATTGGAACATCAGCACCAGTCCGTTTGCTAACAAACACCCTCTTCACAGACGGGCACTTCCTTAAAGCTTCGTCTACTGTTCGTTTAAGTTCAATGGTCTTACCTCCCCTCACCCCTTGGTCAGTTGTAATAACCGTCTCAGCACCAGCTATGAAAAAAAAAAAGAATATTTAAATACAGATCTCCCACCAAGTTGATATGTATATAAAATTGGAAGAGGGAGAACATGCTGCAGTTTTCTATTCAGTTTGTTCATTTAATCCTATCACCAAAAGAGTTTTGGTTGTCATGGTGATTTGATCAACCACTAGGATTATTAAAGCATGAAGGAAAGAAACTTTCTTTCCTCCATAATTAAAGCAAGTTCCATTAATAAGACAAACATCTAAATCTAAATAAATGATAACAATGCCCAAGGCAGTACAGAAGGAACTAAAACTTTACTATAAACCTAAAAGCTTTCAGAAAAGAAACACCATGCTCATTTACTGTGAGGCTCATAGAAGGCCTATTCAATACTCATACATGTAGGTGTTCAAGTTAGGGGGTATCAAATGTAGGTGCTCAAGTTAGGGGGTATCAAATGTAGGTGCTCAAGTTAGGGGGTATCAAACAAAACAAATTAAGATTGTAAGCAAGACCAAAAAATACCCCAAAGAAACTACAAAAGTAGCAGACAACATGTGAGAGCTCTTTCAAACAAAAGAATGTACATTTTTTTTCCCAACCTGCAACAAATTATTCTGGATTACACCACTCTTCTCAGAGATTTCATAAGTTGTTTACACACTTAGTGAATTGGGGCGTTGCTACAATTAGAGCGATCAATTGAAAAGATTGAGCCTCCACCAACAATAAACAAAGCATTGTGGTAAAGTGAGCTCATGAAATTCAGTTGTTTCAAGATGAATTAAGTTTGTGCTATTGTATTGTATTGTAGATGCTGCCTACGCTAGATTAATCAGCCATATGAGAACATGTATTGAATTGAAATTATATGACTTATTATCACCTTATGATTGAATAAGGTAATAAGAGATAAACAACATACAATAGTAGTATTAGTGAAAAGTACTAGCTGAGATTTCTCAAGGGACTAATAGAAGGCTTGCAGGAGGGGTATGGTAATATGTCTTTGAGTGGACTTCTGGATCATAAGTGACTAAATAAAATGGGACAATTAGCATAGTACAGTACCTGGTTGGCTAAAATATTAATAAATACATACAACAGTTCTTTTCAGAACTACCTACGTGGTGTACCGCAAGCTTCAACATATATACTATTACTTTGCCATGCAAACCTTCAAACAATAAATACATAAGCTCACAACAACTATCCGGCAAGCTTCATAATAACAAGCATTTTGAATAAAAATAAATATAATTAAATATAAATTGTAATGTATTAATTTCAGTTAAACTTTGAATGGCACAGTTTCGTATCTATATAATAAAAGTATATAAAGCTATACACATTTTTATAAGGCTTAAGTAATATCAATGAAATAGACTATTCAATATAGTGTAATCCTCAAATACTTTTAATCTTTAAATTGTCACTGGCCTTGGTTTACCTATGGAGGAAATATATAGGTTGAGGTTGGCAATTTCTAGGATTTTTAATTTATGATACTTTTTAACAAACAAGGCCTTTATTGGAAAGCTGGCCCATTTGGCTTTATCATGCAAGTTTAAAAGGGACCAGAGTGTGAATGCTAACCTTAAAATATTTTATTTGTCAATTACATGCCAACCTACTTGTAACATGAGATAAAATAACTTTAAAGTTTTGAAATATAAATTGTTTCCAAATAAAACTATTTTGACAAGGTACTATGACAACCCAATACTGAGTACTTACTTTATGAATCATTGTCACATATTGAAGTTGTCAAGATCACATTTCAAGTAATCATAATAATAGTTCTGTGACCTATTTTTTTATTTTCAAATGAAACTATATTATATGTTATTTCAGCTTAATAAACCATAAAAAATAGCAGGTACAAAAACAGATTCATACAAACAAGAAAACTGTGCTTCTATGGCTCTAATAGCATTTTCATTCAGGCATTCTGTCTGTGGAGGCAAAATATGCATTATTCAATGACAATGTCCAAAAATTCCCACAACTACTAAGTTAGAAGTTGAAGTTATTTTAAAGTATCACAAAAATTATCAACTTATTCAATTTATGTTTAACCTTGAACTGAGACTACAGTAAATTGAGAACATTTTCCACAGTGCTTCTCACCAACATATACAATTGTATAAGTTGGTGAACAATTGTTCACCAGGTCAGAAGCATTGTAACCATTTCAATAAGAGTACAGTCACAGAGAGTGAACATTCTGTTTGTATAGACTCTTAGAAATTAACTAACAAAATCAGAACAAAAAAGCATCAGCAGAAAACTGCTAACAACCGATTCATACAAGAAAAAATGTAACACATGACATGAGATAAAGGTTACACAATCTCTTCAAGGTATTTATACTGACATGCCATCTTCTTCACACTAGCAAACACAAACTGGTCTTGTGCCAAACTAGCTTACTACACAAAGGCTTCTGCAAATGGATGTCTTGTTGTGTAGCAGGAAATCAACTTGTCCCTCCCCAGTACCAATGTGAAATTTTACCGATAGATATGCAGACAGTGAAAATATAGGTGATAAATAGCAAAACAGAAAATAGCATGGCACCTAATATTAATAATAATAACAATAATAATCAATTAAAAATAATTATAGTATTAATTTTTTTACTCACCATCTCTTATTCGACTCCCCAGGGCTTCAGCACTAAATCCAGCAAATACAACACTGAAAATTGAAAATTTGATATTGCTACCTCAAAATATTATTTATTACATACTGCAGAATATATATCGTCGTACTAAAATTACTTATTTTTCATTGGACTCAGTGGACTACTGTATACTGGTTGTGAATTGGACAGCACACAGGCAGAAAATTCCCATAACTTTGTGAAGGATGTCAGCAACAGATTCAAAGGGGGGAGGGGGAGGGGCAGCCTTCCCAGGTCCCCAACTTTTTCATAATTTAAAAAAAAATGGAGAAAAAAAGAAAAATTATATTCAAATTTTAAAGTCTCAGAGTGCCATTTCCAGTAATCTTGAGGTTCCATAATCATAATTTGTTTTACTACAGCCTCAAGCATGGTGGGGCTGAGATAGTGGTATACTGTAGACCCTCCACCTGTGAAAGTGCCTCCCTGGCCCCTTTTATTTAAAATTCTTAGATCCACCACTAAATGTACTGCGTTCTTTAATTTCCTGAGTTTTTTCGCACAGAGGACCAATGGCTTAGATGCCACATCAGAAAAATATAATGCACTTTTAATGTAACTTGAATTTCAGCTCCCAGCTGTAACACAAGGAGAGAGAACCAAGGACTTTATACCTTGATTTGACCAGCAACCAAAAGGAAGGATTTGCACTGTTTATCACACACATGGTACACTGAACTGAGCCACTAAGCTACTCAAGATCAGACAAAACGACATTCAGGGCTCACTTTGCTCTAAGTCCTTAATCTCAAAATTCAGAATCATATTAAATCCCACACAATGGCAGGGCTTAACAAACACTTTAAAATATTTCATTTAATATTAATAATAATCCTTTTAACATTGACCCTGCTAACCACAACTTATTTTCTGTCTGTTATGCCTTTTTTATGATTTAATTATGTTGTAATTTGTGCCGATTGTAATTTAAGCAGATAATGCCTCAAGGTAGCACATGAAGCAAATCAGTTATTGAAATGAATCAAAATAACCAACACTTTTATATCTCAAATACCTTTTAAATTAAATTTGCTCATTTATTGATTTTTACTCATTTTTCTATTTTTCAATATTTATCTTTCGATTTTTTATCTTTCTAAAGAATTTTATATTGTATGTATTGTGTCTTTCTTGTAAAGGGCCTCTACTCGACAGTGATTGATTTTACTTTTGGAGTGTCCTGTCTCTGTTTTTTGTACTTTTGTGATTGTTCCTTGCCGTTTCTATTTATGTACATTCTAATTGTTTGAGACAAATAAATGAAATGAAACCCACTAAAATATCTTACATAAAAAGCATGTGTCATAACATAAGCTGGACTAGGCAATCCAGTGGTCTAAATTCAATTCCAATATTTATCAAGAGTTAATTCAGTGCTATGAATTTCTACACACAAATTTACTATACCCCCTTGCAAGTTACTCTTGGGTGGATTGAGATACAGTACACATAAAGTGCAACCCTTGATCTTTTGATTGGAAACTAAGTCCTGAATACATTATGCAACATGCTTTTAAAGTACAGTATATTTTATTGGGTGTTGGTTATTGAGAATCAGTTCAAAAAATTATTTAAAATATGTAAAGTTAGTCAGCAAAAATTTGCTGACTTACACATTTTTATTTAAAAAAACATCGTCTGCCAGCAGGGTTCAAGAATCTAAATTAGGTAATAATTACTATAGTAAATACAGTAACTTACTTAAAGTGAATCCGTCCTATGATTTACATTGTCAACTTCTTCTCTATTTAAAATCTGATGAAATTATTTCATTTAAAGAATTGCAAAATATTGAACAACTAATCAACTAATAGCAAATTTATAGACTGATTGATCAACCAATTGGTAACAGATTGATTGATTTATTTATTGGTTTACTGATTGATTTATTGAAATGTCCCATATACCTATGTATAGCACCTATTCTAGCGCAGGCCAACATCGCTGCCACTGCATGGGGTGAAACTGGCATGTAAATGGTCACACGGTCACCCTTCTTCACACCATTGGTCCTGAGAGTGTTGGCCAGCTGGTTGGTCATTTTGTATAATTCTCTTTAAAAAAAGCAGAAATTAAAATAAATAGGTTAAATCCTTGGGAAAATCTAGGACGACTTTTAAATTAAACTTATCGTTAATACAATTCAAATTTCTTTTTAATAGTAAAGAAAAATTATAATTAATTGTGTTAAAACCTCAATGAGACATAAGTAAAATGTTTTACTTGTAAGAAACTAGTTCTTGTTGGCCTGGTTCGTCTTTCTCCCATATGAGGGCGGTCTTCTCTGGATTCACATCTTTATGCCGATCGATACAATTTACTAATTAAAGACAAAAATAATTCCGATAATTACAGGATGTCTTATAATAATTGGTTTGTGAAAGCGGTTTGGGGCAGTGGGAATGGTTTGGTTTCCCAACCTCAAGGTCGGGTTTCAATCCTTAGCTGTGCATATCACTTTTGTCCCTGAACAAGACACTTTATCTACACTGATTTAGTTTACCAAGCCTTATCAATGGGTACCAGCAAGTTGCTAGGAGTAACCTGCGGTGGACCAGCGTCCTGCCCAGGGGGGTATCACACTCTCATCCGCTTCACGCTACAGAAACTGGGGATAAGCTCCACTCTTACTGTATGAGACCTACTGTAGTGACACGGTAAGAATTTACTTTTACTTATAATTGCAACATAAAAAAGCAGTAATTGATAATAACAATAATATTTAATAATAATAATAATAATAATAATAATAATAATAATAATAATAATAATAATAATAATAATATAATTAACAATTTTGATAGAATTATTATACAGACTTACTTATACAGTTTTTGATTGGACTCTACAAATTGAAAAATAAACCACAAATTCAAATAAATTATCAAATGAGCAGAAAGTATACCTAAAGCAGACATCCATACATAAATGAAAAGCAATTTATTAATTAATGAAAAAAGTGAAAAATAAATAAACATACAAGGAAATAAGTTCTTAAAATTAAGTAATGTGATTACTCATGTACTAATTGAATAAATTTTGTTTTAAACAATTTACCAACTACAGTACTAACTTGCTATAGATTTTTACACCCATCACATAGGTGTGTCACAAAAATTTAAAAAGTGACAGCAGCCAAGAAAAAATATACAAGGAGATAAACTCTTAAAATTAAGTATTGTGATTAGTCGAGTACTAATCGAACAAATTTTGTTTTATAAACAATTTACCAACTACTAACTTGCTATAGATTTTCACACCCATCACGTAGGTGTATCACAAAATGTACGGCTTTCACACTTCTTTTATTTGGCCGACCTTCATTCAACTGTATGACGCCAGCAAGTTTTTGTTTGCAGTAAAACAACTTACCACACCCCCACTGGAATCAGTGAAACCAATTGTCCGGAAGTCTGTGATATTGAGGTTTTCATGAGGGCAACCCACACTTGGCTAGACATTAGCCCTGATAAAATATTGTGAAACCCCAATAATTTGAACCATAAATCTAGACTTTATCTTATTAGGTTGTTTTTAAATTCCACAGCAAAACCCATTATGCGCTAGAATAACTCATTTAAATTTCTACATCCTTTTTGTAATGTATACCATAGGTCTGTGACGATTTTTTTACTTGCATTTAAAATATTTTAATCTGCAAAGGTAAAGCGATCATTTTATTTTATTTGGATTAGATTCCTACTTTGAATTTACGTTGATTTTTTATTCAATGCGGTTTTGTAACGTCTTGCTTCAAGTACTCTCTGAAAGTTTTAAAACAATGGTACAATATTTTTTTTAACAAACTGATTCCAAATGATTGTGATGTATATGTTATTACCTATATGACACCCAATTCTATGACAGTTATACTTTCTTTTTATGCATTAAATCATACACTAGGCTACACATTAAAGAAACACATATTACAAAATTAGTAATTTCCATTATAAAATTATTAGAAGGGTATGAGTTAGCAAATTACAGGGAGTGTTCATGCAGTCATTGACAAACCAGAAATTTACTAGATTTCATTAATACAGTCCAAAAAAGAGAAAGATTTAAAATGAAGTTGAGTCAAGTGCCGATTACATAATCAAAGGAAGCCAAGTTGGAATTTTACACTTTGTGCTTTCTGCAACATCCATAAAATTTAGAGTGGACAGATGTGTAGTGGAGGACGTGCAAGAGTGGAGTGCATATGAAGTTTCGATTAATTTGAAGGTTTCTCGTACACCAGATTAGAGAACTTTGCAGTTGATGTGAGGTACAGTATTATATTATATATATAGAGTAAAACTGATGTAATACTGCCAATAAAGTTTCTCAGAAAGGTAATCTAATATTTACCAATATGTTAGTTTATGTTTACAGAGTCATGTTTAACAGTAAGTTATGTTTCTATTAATACCAGTTTAATTCATTTCTGATAGGAAATTTTAAGTAATTTATATTTCTTTTAAATGCATTTTTATATAGTTTTATACAATTAAAATATACAATAGTGTTTTGAATTGAAATGTTAAATGAATTGTTAATATTAATGCAATTTAGCATTGAAATAATATTCAATCCAATATCCAATCAACAAATGGAAGAGTCCATCAACCAAAACTGTCCAATCAGACAATAGCTATGAGTGAGCCAAATTCCTTTATATCAATTCAGTTCCCGTCAACAAGGTATGAAATGAAAGTTGCCAATAAGCAACAGTGCTGGACTAATTAACAAAATGGATTTTAGGTAAGATAGTTTTTACTTGTTTAATGATCTTGATTTTTTAAGATAATTTTTGAGAATTCTTCAAACTTTACACACCAGTGCTGCCAAAAATATGACTTGAGTACTGTAACTCAACTACTGTACAACTATGCTGGAACACGCTTGACACAAACTTGTTCTACTACAGTGAAGCTTTGACAATGTACGGGATTATGAAAATACTTTTAAGCTTACAATATTTGTTACCAGATTCAATACAAAGAAAAAAGTACACAGTACTATACTTAAACACTTACCAGCATATTTGTTGGCAAAATTCTGTAAATTCACTCTTTTAAACAGTACAATGCATTGTTTTGTTAGCTTTCAAATATTTTGTTGGTTGGCACTTTTTGAAAACCAATCTACAGCACATGAAAATACTCTATTGATGCTCGAAAAAAACCTTCAGCAAAACATTGAAATAGACTAACCAAACATGAACCAATGCACAAAATAAACTACATGAATCAAGGGTTTAAAAAGGTAGTGAGTTTTAAGTGATTGTTTGAAAATATTTACATTGGAAATGCCTTTTTTGTATTAACTCAGTTGACAGTTTTTTTAGACTGCTTAGGTAAAACTTTACTACACTGTTCACATTCATTCACCATAACGTTTTATTTTTATTTTCTTCTCCACCTGGATGTTTCTGGCAAAACTATTTGTATTTGCTAAATAAGAAAAAAAAATTTTATTTTTATTTTTTTCCCGTCTTGCTTTGACGATCTTTGAAAATATAAGTTTGTGAAATAGAAAAAGTCTCACCTTTAGGTGAGACTTTTTATATACCTTGTTTAGCGAACCTGCCGACTGCAAATATTGATGATTTCAAATAAAAATAGATTTTATTTTTGGCAAATTATCACACTCGCTGCCATGAAAGAGTGGAAATTTCAGAAAAAAATACAATTTTTTCTTTATTTTTAAAACATCCTCTGCTGCCTTGAAATCTCCAAAGGTAAGATATGTATATTCCTTTTAATTATATAAATTTGAAGCATTTAACCATCCTAACATTCACCAATAAAATTTTATTTTCATTTTCTTCTCCGTCTGGATGATTTTGGCAAAAATGTTTGCTAAGTAAGAAAACAAAATTTTATTTTAATTTTTATTCCGCCCTCCTCCGATAATTTTTTTTAAACAATAAGTACGCGAAACAAGGAATAAAAAAAAGCCTCGCCTTACTGTATGTTCAGGACCCACAATTAAAGTTTGCTTACAGCGGGGTACCTTTTTCACATAATCCTTTTTCTTTTCCTATTTCCTTTCCTTTTCTTTTCCCCTTTTTCTCTTTCCCTCCCTCTCCCTTCTTTCTTTTCTCTTATTACCAGACCGGTACGACGGCTTGGTCAGCCCGGTAAAAACCGTCAGGGGGGGGGCAGTCTTCCCCCTTCCCCTTCCCCTTCCCCCGCCTGTTACGCCACTGTCTGTTAGAATCTTTTATATTTGTTTTTATGTATGCTTTATGAACATCTTGTTTTATGTTTTCTCGTGTATTGCTTTTACTTCGATTTTTAATAAAGTAGCCTGTACAAAATAAAAAAATTAATGGGGGATAAAGAAAAGTTACATTCAAATTTTGAGTCAGACAGTGCAATTTCCAGCCATCTACAAGTGCCATAGGCATAAACATGTTGTACCTTAGCCCCATGGTGGGGCTGATGTGGTATTTACCCCATCTGTAAAATTTCTGAACTAAGATATAGGCTTATCTGAATGACTATTGCATCCATTTCCTTTATTTCTCTCTGTTAACATCATAAGTCTTTTTCATATTTCAGAATCGAAATGACGAAACAGAACGCAGCAAAACAAAACTACGCTCATGCGATATTCGACAAGGACAACCAGGATCTTCATGTCAGCGAATGTTGGACTGCATTGGATGATATTGTCGATACTGAAACGTACAATAGCAGTTGCATATACACACCTAATTGTATATCGGACTATAATCAATTAGCTTTTGAGACTTGGCAAGGAGATTCGATGACGTTACAAGTTGATAATAACAACTTAGAAAGAAAAACGAAACAGAAAGGACAGTTTGTTAGTGCAAGTTCGTCCGCATCTGCAGTGAGTATGGAAACTATTGATGGCGCTCCTCAGAAAGTAAAGGAGGACAGTCCTTCAAATCTCCAAACTTTACATTGTAAAGTATGCGAAAGAGAGTTCTCGCAAAAAATCAGCCTGGCAAATCATGAACGTTCACATGGAACGAAGAACCGGCACATATGCGGATTTTGCGGTGAGCGTTTTAAGTATAAAATCAACCTTACACGTCACCAAAGAAAACACGCCCGAGAAATGCATATATGCCGCTATTGCCATGTGAAATTAAGCACTGATTATGCACTGGTTCAGCATGAAAAAGCCCATAGACTTGCTGCAAAGACGAAAAGCCAATTAGAATCTAGGAACAACCTAAAATTATAACAGCGCGCCGGTGATAAATCAAGTCCTAGTCAAGTCAAGTCAGACCACTGATTCGATTTTTAAAATTTCTATTTGCCATTATATACCGCCAGTGTCATTCATTCGTTCCAGAGAATGCTGGCTAAAGCCTAGCATATTATATAAGCAGTCATTTCTACCCAAAGTTAGCTATGACAAAACATAGGCCTATAAAAGGCGTGACAAAAATAACACTTGTATAAACACGTCTAAATTATAGCTACTGTAGCCAAAAGGGGTCGGCGCGAAATTTATCACTGTTCACACTTAGTTAGGCCTATATATTTTACATTTTTATAAATAGGCATATAATATATCTATTCATTTAAGCAAAGTACTGAAACTCACACATAATAAAAAAATTAAAGAACATAAAATGTAATACAAGTATAATTTAATTTAGAAATTAACTTGCCTTTAGAAAGTTCTAGTTTGCAAGAATGTGTACGTGTGTGCTTACGCGTCGTGAGTGAGCGTCGTTGGCAGATACCGGTGCATACCATAGATGTGTTATTATATTATTGTTTATTTATTTATAAGTGTAATATTTATGGGTATTTCTGTATTACTTAAGGTGTACTACCTGCTGAAGCCAAGTAGTGGTGAAACTTGTGATAATATACGAATAAAAAAGTTGTAGTATCGAAGAAGTATTGAAGTATTGATTTGATAAAGTACTTAAAACATTGTTATACTTTACAAAAAAATATACGGTTACCATTAGTCTTAAAGCGTTGTTACTTTGTTTATTTTTTGAGTATACGTTGATTAGATCATTTTGGTGTGAGTGGGATGCTTGTTACCATTATAATGATATAGTATGCTTGGAGTGTGTAATCACCTGAAAAATTGAACAATTATTATTCTATAACCATTAACGTTGATGCAGCGCCCTCTACCGGCCACCGTCAACTGTATTACGGTAGGCAATATTCTCAGTTGTCTTGACAAGCAAGTAAAACTTACACAGGTGTTGTAAAACAACCTTCCCCCTACGTATTTAGGTTTGGAAATTACATCGACATCTTCTGTGCATTGTAATAACCATCATAAAGCCATGTGTGGGTGTTCCATTTATAAGCATTATCCCAGCAAACACAAAACGTTCTCATAACGTTCGCGAACGTTGTGGTATAGCCGGTTTTCGACAAGGCGAATTTATTTGCGCGAATCGAAAGCGTCGGTTCATGCGCACGCACATTCACGTTTTTATCGGAGTTTTCGCTTCAGCGAAATCGGTAGTTCAAACTGTTTCTACTTTTTAAGAAGCGAAAAAAAAGCTCAACCAATTAGAGCTCAGGAAGCGAACGGACGCCTTGTGGAAAACCAGCTTAAAAGTATGTCACAACATAACGTTCACACAACGTTGTAAGAACGTTCAAACGTTATGACGTTGTAAAATTAGGTTATAAGTACGTACATATGGTTCTACAAAATAACGTTTCTATCACCAAACCTTAACGTTTTTATAACGTTCTTTTAACGTATTAATATTATTGTTAGCTAGGATGCTTCTGGGATTTCTCTTTTTCTTTGACTGCTTAAATTTTGTAACATTATCTTGGATTATTGTATGATTTATTATATCGATGCTCAAAGGAAATAAAAGAAATTGGCATTGTCATTGTCAGAGCCTATTACGGTGAAAAGGGTGAACTTAAATTTGTTTAACATAGGATCGGAAAACATTAATATTGAGAATTGAAATTAAATAGGTTGATTCATTTGGCATATTATATAATATAAATCAAGATAGCCGTTAACACTATTAAATTATATATATATAAATCATTAAAGAAAGGTAAATACAGTGTTCGAATAAAGGACATAATAATACATCGTGTAGCATAGCTCTCAACGAATGTAGTCCTGTAATAAATGAATAAAGAAATTGTGTAATAAAATGCCTCTGGCGGAACTCGAATCTGCGACCTCTCGCTGTCAAGGCGAGCGTCATAACCATTAGACCACGGAGGCTTCATGGTTGAACAGATTCAAATACCACCAGATACACTCCATTATACAATAGGTACGGCTAGAAACAAATAGTTGCATATAATATAAATCAAGAT